AATTATACCTCATCTGCTGAATGTAAACGATGATTATACTGAGTAACTGCATAATTTAACGTAATAATGCACTATGACGATTTGTTAGGATTCGGTCGTTACAAATATAACGGGATATGCAATACTGCGCAAACTTATGGCAGCAAGGAATGTTTGCCTTCCTGAGACCAATGCTATTCGGCGAAACATCAGGATGAAAGTAGTACATAAATAACTGATTATAACGACTGAACTGTTGCAACTTACCTAAAGAGAAAGACACAGGACCGAAGTTAGTTTTGGACAAAACAGTATTTGTAATCAAACTGCGATTGAAAACACTAAAATGATATGCTTATCTCAAAACAAGGCATGTATCCACATGGGCGTATTTAATGACATAACAGAACCAAGAAGCCTGCAATGCTGCATTCCAGAAACTTAGTCGTCTTAAAGGCAGACCGTGGAGCAAGTAGCGAGAAAAGGGCCCGCACCAGGGAGTATGAAAAATTTATTTCCAGGCGTCGGTGAATTTTTATCTCCTATTCATGACACACTTCAGATAGCTATATAATCCTCTCGACTACTCAAGCAAGCAAGAAAGACGAGACCTGCTCTTCCTTAACCCAGAAAAACGGGGATGACACCAATGTACCGTAGGTTTCGTTTAGAAAATATACTTGCAAATGTCAGTATACATATACAGTATAGTAAGTGAAACTAAGAAGTAAAAAATTTGAATCCTAAGATCTCTTGATAAGACGAATGTCTATTATCATGATACGTATATTATCAGACTTCAGTTTCAGCCTACTCCGCAATACAAACTACAAGGTAAAGAGATTAATTAACAACAAACGCTAAATAAGAGTATAAAATTATTTCAGAAGATAGATCAGAGGATGAGACGCACTAAACGCTTGTCTATTCCGCAAGTTGAAGCATTTGTAGCGCCGCAATCAGCCTTACTAGAATTTAAATGAAGGTAAATAGTCAGTAGTGGAGAAAAAATGAGAATGAGCGTAAAATTTAAACAACGAAAAAAAACAAACTAAAGTGCAGCATCTGCTGTTCCTCAAAACAAAGTAACACTAACTTCTATTCAAAAATTTTAGATCTGAAGACGCCAAGGAGTATGATATTCGTTACAGATACAAACTTCAACCATGGTGAGTTCGATCTAAAAGTGCCCAGTGAAGACTAATACCCATTTTTTCTTATTATGAGAATAGTGAAAAGATAAAACTGCTCATATGAGAAAACGAACCAAAACGAACGAGACATGAGAATCACATGACAAGACTAAAAAGCCGTATCAAATGAAACTGAAACTCGATGTGCGGTACAACAACAACATGGGTTACACCATCTGCTGATTATCACACTGAATAGATGGCTATCAGGCAGTTCAAAGCTAACTGCAGTACCAATGAGGCGCTCGTATCAGACATCGGACGGCATGGCGTTACCTCTGCTCCATTCTGGTATGACCGCGCCAAAGCACCACGTTGCCCGAGTTATTCGAAAATCGGCGACCTGTTAGGGGTCGGTTTCTTGGCTGGTTACAGCGAAGGAACGTGGGATAAATTCGTTACACAAAGGAATTGGCGACTACGACAGATTCAATGACGAGAAAGAGGTTCACTGGTATAAAACATGAGAGATATGTCAAACTACTCTTCGGATTTTGCATATCCTCAAATGAAGACTAGAATAAAGAACTAAAATAAACCTAAAGTAAGAATAAAGACGTGGAGGCGAACCACAGGATGAGGGTTTAAATAACGGCTTGAAGTCGAAGCACAACAGCGCACAGTTATTCGTTGGCGACTTACCATTTCTACTTCTTGCTTGAGGTCTTCCAAATGCATCTCCTTTTCCTTTTTAGTCTTGTTTCCACGAATTTTGTCCTTCGTTACCACAGTGACCGTTCCGGTGGTCTGGTCGCCGGAAACGGCGGACGACGAAGGGTTCACGTCCTTCATCTGGAAGCTGCGGTTTTCTTCGGTGCCGCCACCTGCAACCATCGCGCTTGCTTGTATGTGACGGACGACGAATTCTTCAACGACACCGATGAGGGTCGTTGACAAGTGTCGACGATGACGATGGGAATTTGTGTCACGCGGGACCGGTCGTCGGGTCGAGAGAACCGGACGGAGCGAAGGGGGGCGCGACAAGAACGACGAGCACTGGTTGCACTGATAGCACTGGTGCTACACAACACTGTAACTGATGACGCCGATTACTACGACGACGATGGATAGCGCTGAAAATAAAAAAACGCATCTTCTTAACGGTGTACATGACATACGACGCGAAGGGGATCATTGACAGTCGAAGATTATGTGCAATACAGTGTCTCGATATCCAAGGTCCAGGGATTCGCAGGTGATATTTGCCAGCATGAACCTTTTAATCGTAACTTATTACCCTGGCACGATTCGTTCGTTAATTATATGGGATTGTTTCATAGTAGCTGATCACACAGAACGAGGGTTACAGTGTACAAACACAAACGGCAATCTTATGCTTCCTCGCCGCGATTCACAATCAACACGAAAACAATGCCGAAGACGAGGCTAAATGGTAAGGTACCACAA